GAGGAGCCGTTGTGCAGACAGGTAGCTGGGCCTCCAGCGCGTGCCTCGGACCGCCTTGTTTTCCAGCTCTGGCGTTTTTCAGCTAGCAGCAACAAATCCCAGCGCTCTTTTTCTAACTGCAGTGGGACGACTTCTCTCGCAGCTCTGCAGAATCCCTGGGTGGGCAGGAGGTGTGCTGTGTGTGTTGGGAAAGTAATGCGGAGGGACGAATTAATCTGTGATTTTACTCACCTGTGAAGGAAGTACGGGCCATCTTCTCTTCCTCTCCATCCACGGGGAGGGAGGATGTTTACTAGAAATGAGATCTAGAAATAATGTGAGTCTTTGAGTGGTCTCACCGCTCAACCTGAACTCCCCCAGCTGCGGGGTGGGGAGCGGGACGTGAAATCCTCAGTGGGTCCCCGTCTTCTCTTCCAATTTGGGGTAAACAAGCAGGACAGACCATGAGTGGGAGGCAGAAGAGAGGCGTGTGGGAGGAGTGACTTGCTCCAGCAGGCAATTAGCGGTGCTTCCTGCTAGAAACAGTGGGCCAAATCTCTTTTCACTGAGCCTTTGCCAGGACTTATTCAGGTGAGCAAGGTGAGAAGACTTTCTTCCAGCTGTCTGGGGTACTTTATAGAAGGAGGAAGGACTTCTGTGTTGACGAGCTTAGCACAGGAGAAGGGGCTACGGGTGGGCTTAATCTGTACCATAAGCAAAGCAGGACATCATGTGAAAGTGCCGGGGGAATTTATCTCGCTGTAATCCTGCAAGTTCCTGCAGGTTCGTCTTACTACTGCCTCCGTAGCCGTTTCTGATCTTATCCCTCACATGACAGAGAGGTACCACCCCGCAAACTATCCCGTCGCTTGGCTGATCCACGTACAGCACCTCGGAGCTTTGCACCATGAAGCCAACAACCTGACAGATTTCCCTGGTGGCTTTGTAGTTCTTGTGGATCTGGGCTCTGTAGAGCAGGATGTGTTTCTCCGTGTGTCGCTGTTCCCCAGAAACCTGCTCACCGATAGGAGGAGAATGTAAATAACTAAAAAGTGATACTTTCAACATTTATTTTTCAGGAAAGATCTCGTCCGTGTGGAGGCTACTGTGATAGAAAAGACGGAGTCCTGGCCAAAAATTAACATGCGCTTTTGGAAGAGGCACAACTATCAAAGGAAGAAAAGTAAGATGAAGAGAATCCAGAGGTTCCTTCCCTGCCGTTTCCTTGGTGGATCCGGGAGGGGGACGTACGGTGACACGGGGGCAGAGCCTGGGGAGGGACACTCGCTCACCGTATCCCCAGGGCCCCTCGCGGCACAGCACCTCTCTCCCAGCCCGCTGTGTTCAGGGCACGGGCGCTTAATCCTCCCTTGGTCCAGCGCCCTTTCCTAGGTAGCCTTGCAAAAGACCTTGTTAAAAAAAAAATAAAAATATCCTGGGCAGAAAAGCAATCTTGTTCTCTTTCCAAAGCCTTAAATATTGGATATGTAATCACAGCTACTAGCCAGCCTGTGGCAGGCTTTGTGATTACCAGATGACTGCCCCTTCTCAGATACGACTGAGAGGGAGAAAAATTATGATGGCTTTTTTTACGGAAGGGATGCTAAAACCTTGCCCAGCCCGACCCGGTCCCGCGGGAGCTCTGCCTGGCCCTCCTGCTCGTGCCGTGCCAGTGGTATGCGGCCGTCCTGCCAACGGGGCAGCATCTGCCAGCACACCCCTCCGAGAAACCCGCGCGCCGTGGCATGCCCTAGCCTAGCGCAGCTAAGCCAGCGGGAGCCTTCCGAAAGGTACGCAACAGGGCGGGTTTGTGCTGTCATCTGATCTTTTTTTTTTCTGTTTTCATTCTCTTTCAGTCATCACGAACCCGCAGACTGTCCTCCGGATAAACACCATAGAAATTTTCCCCTGTTTGTCGTGATTGATTGATCGGGTGTTGTGCGGCTTAGGTTTATTATTGCTTTAAGCAATTATGGAAATAAAACTGCCTTGTCATTGGAAAGTTCTGGACTTCTTGCTGTTGTCAGAAATGGAAATCTATATGTACTTTCTGTTTTTAAAAAAACAAAATGAAATATTTTTTTTAAACTATTATTTCAGCCTTGATGGTGTTTATTTGTCAGGAGTTTTAAACAAGGCAGGATCCGTTGCTAGCTGTCGGGCTCTTTCATGCCAGCGGGGTCTGCCTTTGCCCCCACTCCTCTCTCTGTACTTTAGGGATTCAGGCGCTCGGCTTTGTCTTAGAAATACCGTGGGCTTCACTGGGTGTGGGGAAAAAAGGGCCGTCTGCCTCCCAGTCCCAGAGGTAAGGCTCTGAGCCGGCAAGGCACAATCTATCTGTACAATTAGTCAATTTAAGGAGCCCGTTGCCGTGCTCAGTAACTCGTGTCCTTGCGAGTTGCCCTGCGCTGGGACTGCGGGCGCCCTCAGGGCTGGCAGAGACACGGGCGTGTTTGGGTGAGCTGATTTGCCCTCTGGAAACGCTCACTGCTCTCCACAGCCTGCAGTTACGTGGCTGTAAATAGGTGAGGTGTTTTTTAAGAGTGCTAAGTGTAGTTTTGCCCCCTGCCCCTTCTCCTCTCCTAACAAAAGCCCCGCAGCTCTGTTCATATAATTCCTGGCATTGCACGGCTTCAGGGAATATCCTGGGTACAGCGTGGGCCACAGCGAACGTGGGACTGCAGTGAAGCAAGACGACTGCGGGATCCCACATTTACTCCCAGATTATGTTAAGTGGTGAAAATCCTTCTTAAAGATTAGCAACAGGAGATGCAGCTGAGAAATTACCCTCGTAAAGGTGAGCCAAAGAGTATGGCATAGCAATATACGGTGCGTAGTAATACTGTCAAAGTAAGAGATATCAGTGGCTCAGGAGTGATTTCGTGCTTATTTCACAGGCTCGGTGCCTGACCTGCTGAGTATATTTTCGTGTCTAGATCTCGGTAGTTTCTCTGCCCTTTGTCGGCAGGTCGGGCATGGTGCCTTGCTGAGCAGCGCGTGGCAGGCGCGGTTATTCAGCCAAGGTCTGCCGGTGTTTCTGGGCTGTGATAACAGCCGGGGAGAGTTTGCTAGAGCTTTCCGCAGGCTCTGGGGGCAGCTGTCGGATTCTCTGCAGCTCCCGTGAGAAGCGGTAAGAGGGCCCTGCTCTCCTTGTCACTTCTCTAGGGAGTACCTTGCTTCCAATGAGGCAGGAGGACAGTCCGCATGTGGGTGTCCTTATGCTCCCCCGCTGTAACTCCCCCGTGGGACCGAGGGTGCCCACCACCCTGTACTGAAGGAGGTGCCAGTTTTGAACATAACGATAGCTGGGTCTTTCAAATCTCACAAGTCTGTATAAACCTTCAGGAGATCACTTTAGGTGCCGTAAAGGGCGAGCTGGATGGCTCGGGCTGCATTTCGTCTCGCCGGACTTCAGCCAGAGAAGGATCCGGGCGAGCCTGGGTTAAGCTGGATCTCCAGTCGCTGGAGAGAGATGGTCATCTGCAGGGCTGACTCATCTCTTCCCCTTTAGGATGGTCTGGCACGAGCAGCCCTTGGGAGATGCTGTTCCTTCTCTGCTGACTGTACAGGGAGGTTGGACACCCGGGTTTTAAACAGCCAGTGGGAACGTGAAGGCAGGGACCTTTCCGCAACCAGCTTTGGTCGTTGCATCCTTGTTTCCAAGCTGGGAGGCAGAGGGGGGACCTCTCCTCCCAAAATCACCTCCCACCTCTTCCCCCCTCTCCCAAAGGTGGCTCCGGTTCTGCGCTGGGACCACAGATCCCGCAGCGGCAGCGAGTCGCAGTGCCTTGCGGGTTGGCATGAGGACTACGGCACTGACTGCCTTCCAGTCACAGACTGTTCCCAGTCCACGGCGGAAGCAGCGCTGCCAGCTGAAGCAATTCTACTGGAAACCTCGCAGTCCCTCTGTGTTTCTGAAGGCATGAGAGTGCTGGGGCTAAGAAACAGCAGGCGCGCCTTGGCTGTCAGAGGAGGTAGGGGGAATCTTCTGTCCTTCCCCTTACGGAGAGACACTGGAAAACAACAAGAGAGACTTCAAGGCTCAGAAATAGGGGAGGAAGCAGCCCGGTCTTGGTTCAAAAGAAAAAATCAATGTCTTAAGTCAATCTGTAAAACTGCTGCCCCCCAAAAAAAGCCCTGGGAAATGTCATTCTAATCCAAGTGATAGATTCTATGAAATTAGGGCGGCTGCACAGCGTGTTGCAGGGAGGAAGATGCGGGAAGGGAAGATTCAACCAGTAGCAGGAACTCCTAGGTTTTGTTTTGAAAACTTTATAACGTAAAATGTGAGCATAATATTCAGGGTTTTTTGAAATGATGCATTTGGACTAAGGCAAAAGGGGATTATTTTTGACATTTCCTTCATGGGAATGTAAAGAAAAAGCTTTTTGCTGTTCCAAGCGGAAGCAGAAATCCCCGGTTCTTCAGTCGCAGGTCTCCATTTGGCTTCACGCGTTGGGGGGTGGCCGCTTGCGATCCTCTTTCTGGCTTCAAAATGTGGTTTGCCACACTTAAATAGTTTAAGAACAGAAATTTCTCAAGAAAGCAGGCTCTTCCCCCCTCCCGCCCCCCCCAGCCACTGATTCATAGTGGAAA